CCTGGCCCACCGCTGGAAAGAATTCATCATCAGCTCGTGGCACAAACTGTCCAAGTACGGGCACAGGATCAGGTGTAACACTTGCATAGCCTAAACCAAAACCTTGAAAACGGGTTTTAGACAGATGACCAGGGTCGAGAACCATGAGGGCGACTTCGACGGGGACGCTCCAGCTAACTGTGGCACGACGTTTCTTTACCCGACGTTGCTGATAGATAAGCCTAGTCACCGACGTCTCCGCCAGCACTTCCATGTGAGAAGTTCGGGTGAGGCTGCCAGCAATGAAAGGAACCGCCAAAAACTCAGCCAACTTAGTCTTATAGTCCTCGAGATAAGTCGCCTCCATTCCTCCATCAGCTCCTTTACACGTGATAGCCTCCTTCAGCTCAGAGAAATCGGGGGTAAATCCAGATATGTGGTTATATTTACGGTGCTTAACCCCCGTGGACCTCCCAGCTAAGACACGTGCTAATCGGTGAACCTCGGCCTGGTGGCCCAGGCGGCGGGCCTCATGGAGGTCCTCGAGTACAGCAGCCCGCCGTCGAGCGCGAGTCCTGCGGAAGAGACGACGGAGCAGACCACCAAGGTGACGGATTCTCCTGCGGCACTCCAAGTGTTCCTCCGAATAGCAGGGGAGATGGCCATAGGTAGTCCAATAATGATGGAACTCCCAACGATGCTGATGACGTTCACGGACGAGAGATAAGCGCTCACGACGTAAAACACGATACACATCATGCTGAGGGATAGGTGCGAGTGCAAAGTGCTTGCACGCCGTGTCCTGTACTATGCTAATCCAGTGATCATACTCACGATCCGTGTGCGTGTCCTGCTGGTACTCAGAGAAGGTAGGTTCCGCAGACGCAAAACTTGCCTCCAATTCTTCGTGAAACTCTTTCCGATACAAACCAGACTGCAGGGCTGCTGCAAGTTTTTGAAAGTCCCAGCGGAAGAAATTCGGGTCCCGAAAAAAGTGAGGCATGGCATATTGGACTTCCAAAAGTACTGGCATGTGGTCGCGCGGTCGCCCGCTCGGAATCAGCTGAAGCTCTCGCCCGCTCCTCCAGGCCACCTGACACCTCTTTACCCCAGGAAGAAGACCACGAGGAACTAGAAACATGTCGATGGTGCTGGTCTCCCCCTTATTGCCATAGAATGTCGGACCAGCATGGGGGTAGAAAGTGCACGGGGCCGCCATATCTAAATCGAGGACGAGATCGCCAACCATCGTGCCCCCGAGTCCCTGACGACCGACATGATGAGGACCGATCTGTTCACCAGCCTCATCTCGACGCAAACCATCACTTCCCAGACCAATACTAGAGTTGAGGTCCATGCCTACGACTACTGTACTGCGTGTCGCGGCTCGTTCAACACGTGCTCTAAGATGCTCATGTGTGCTTTTTATTGCTTTTATTTGGGCTCGACGCTTCCCCCCAGATTCATACAAGGGCGGCGGGTACACCGTGATCAGCGTAAGATCAAGACCAGGACCCTTGATGCGGACTTCGCCATAACGTCCAGGGATGTTCGAAGGACCTGCGTGCACGTGCTTGATGTAGTTAGGGTGTAGACGCCTCCCCAATATGATGCAACATCCCGCGCTAGAATTCGAGTGAGGGGCCCGACTCCAGCCGAAGTGTAGTGCGATCCTGCGAGAACTCAAACGCTCCACGTGATACGTACGGCCTACCCATTCCCGAACACACGTGCCCTGGAGGAAGATCACATCCACATTAAGCCGACAAGCAATCTCATCTACTCTTCCTGCAGATACCAGGCTCAAAGGGTTGTACGTGACAAACTTCAGAGACATGCTACTTCTGAAAACAACTGCACTTCTGAAAGCCACTGGGAAAAATATGTTGCCCCCCACGAACGTCACCTGCACACATCAGAGATAGGCCCAGCCATGGACAGGCGCAGCGCTGGGGTGTGGAAGTGTGTGCGATCGCCCCTGAAAAAAGAAGCTCGAGGGGAAGGGGCTAGGACGAAGAGGAGGAGGAGGAGGAGGAGGAGGAGGAGGAGGAGGAGGAGGAGGAGGACCCCCTCTCCCTCCAATGTATGGTGGTGGTGGTGGTGGTGGAAAACAGGCCCATCAACATTTGGACTTTAAATCCGCCGACCCTGTCGGCGTGTGGAAGATGCTTTTCCGTTTGTGGTGAACGTCGTCGTCGTCGTCGTCGTCGCCGTCGTCGTCGTCGTCGTCGTCGTCGTTGCTCGTCCGTTCGTCGTCGTCGTCGTCGTCGTCGTCGTCGCCCTCCCCTCAGGCGCGCCAGCCAAAGCGAAACCAAAGCGAAATCGAGCAACGTCGTAGCTGAGTCGAAGGCAAAGCGAAATTGAGCAACGTCGTAGCTGAGTCGAAGGGAAGCCCCTTCCCTTTGATCCCTTCCCCGCCGGGGGGGGGGGGGGTCCCGGGGGGGGTCCCGGGGGGGGGGGGGGGGCAGATACGCATCCCCCCCGGGATGTCCCGGGACCTAGAAAAGCCCCCAGACTGGCCAAGAGTGCCCCAAGAGGCTTCCAAGACGGCTCCAGAGGGCCCCGAATCGCCGAACCATCGGTCGAAGACGCCAAAGTAGCCTCCAGACGGCCCAAGAGATTGCCAAGACGCTCCAAGAAGTCTCCAAGAGCACTCCCAAGAGGGCACGAAGAGGGACAAATCAATGATTTCCTTAAAGTTTTTGACAGATTTTGGCGTTCTCGCCGTTTCAACTTGCCGACGCTCCAAGACGGCCCCAGATGCCCCCAAGATTGCCCCAAGATAGCCCAAGAGGCCTCAAGAGATGCCCAAAATGACCCAAGAGAGCCTCAAGACCGCCCAAGATGCCTCCAAGATGGCCCCAGAGGCTCCCCAAACGGCTCCAACAGGGTGCCCAGACGGGGGGCCCGACGAGCCCTCGGCGACAGAGGCTCCCAGGAAGCCCCAAGATGCCCCCAAGAGGCCACCACGAGACCCCCAAGAGGCCCCCAGGAAGCCCCAAGAGGCCCCCCCCGCCACATTAGAGAACGCATGGGTCGCCCTCCAGGGTCGGCGGCACCAGCCGTAAGGCCTTCGCAATAGTTATTGATCGCACACTACTTCGCCCGCACTCTCCAAGCGAGCAAGGCACAGGGCTGATCCAAAAGAGGACCCCGGGCGGGCGCCCTTTCCGGGAAGAACACAATATGGGCACCAGGGAGGCGGGAACATCCATCCTCCCAGGCCAGGTGGTGGCTATGGACAAACCCCGCCTGAGAAAGATCATTCAGAAGACCTCTCTCTTCAGGCAAGCCCAGCAAACATGTTGCGACGTGATATGTTCGTCAATTTTGGAGTTCCGAAACGGTGCGGTGACGGATCGTGCGGCGACCTCGAAATCCCCGAAGACCTCACCGCACGGTCCGTCACCGCACGGTTTTGGGACCCTGGAGGCCCCTGTCGCCCGAGACGTCCTCGGAGAGGGACCCGAGTCCCAAAACCGTGCGGTGACCCCGAGATCCCCACCGACTCACCACACGGTGTGGTCACCACACCGTTTGGGGGCCTCCGATCAGTCCGCGGCCCCAAAATTCCCGACCCGTGCCCCGGGGACCGTCTTCCGCACCATATCCATGTGTGGTGGCCCCCAGGGCCCGATGCCGGACTCCAGAGGACCGAATCCAAAGAAAAAACACCCCGACGGAACAGAAATCGTACCGCCAGAGTGGCGGGCTCCAGAGGACAAGATCAAAAGACGAACACCCCGACTGAGCAAAAGCCATGTCGTTGGAGAGACGGACTCCAGAGGACCGAACAGAACTCATATCGTCGGAGTGACGGCCTCCAGCAGACTAAATCAAAAGGAAAGCAACCCGACGGAACAGAAATCATGTCGTCGGAGTCACGGGCTCCGGAGGACTAAATCAAAAGAACAATACCCCGACTGAGCACACATCATTTTTTCGGACAGAATTCACCACCGCTCGCAGCGCCAGCAACTCTCGACCACATGCATTGTGTGCGAAACCCTTGCGGCGTCCAACCGCTTGTATAAAACACAACGACAGCCGATCGCAACGCCGAGCGTAGCAGAGGCAAAATCGCGATCGCTCTGGACTCAGGCTGGGCATGGGGGGGGAGGAACGAGGAGGAGGAGGACAAGGAGGAGGAAATCGTGCTGCCAGAGTGACGGCCTCCAGAAGACCGAGTCACAAGACGCACACCCCGACCGAGCCAAACCCACGTCGTCGGAGAGGCGGGCGACCCCGCTCTTCTCTGCGCGTCGCGCCCGAGAGGGGATGGGGTCGCAGACTGTGGCCCGAGGCACCTGCGCGCGGGCCAGGGAGGGGGCCAAGGGACGTGTTGACCTCCGAAAGTGGCGGCCACGACCACTGGAGAGTTTTTCTGGGACCCCGGCCATCAGATCCACCCCTCCTGGTCCCCACCCCCCTCTCGGTCGCCAGTTTCGGCTGCACGCAAGAGTGATCCCACGTAAGAGTGACCTTTGTTGCGCGGCTTCCTGGTGGTCGCGGGGGGGCCAACACACAAGCGCGCAAGACGCCACTGCCGCCTCGCGCTCGGCGATCGGGGGGCCCAATGGGCCCGCTTCAAAGGTCACTCCGACGAAGGGCCGATATTACGTGTATAGTCGGACTTAGGCCAGAAGAACATCCTCAAGACTCTGAGATCCGCCGGCCAAAACACACAGAACAGCCAAGGACACCCTCCTATGCACAAGAACATCCAACAGACACGAAGAACATTAGGGTACCCTCCCCGAACAGACCTCGGCCCCGTGCCCAATGGCTTTCGGACCATAACTCCGCTCTCAGGCGGTCGTTCGGGACGATTCTGGCACCCTCGGAACGCCCTCGGCGAGGCGCAGCTGCTGGAAAGCGCCCTGAGGCTGGAAAGCCGCCGAGAGCCTAAGAAAGCGTCTGGAAACCTCGAACACCCTCCCCGAACCGACCTCGATCTTACACATCGGTCCGGCTGTAGTCGGCAACTCTCTGCGCGGCGCCACTCCGCCCGCGCCGTTGTCCTGCAGCCGGTCCGCGAAGAAGGAGTGGCCGTCTTCCTCATCCACCTGGCGTTAGGTCGGGCATGTTCTCCTACTGGCAGATTTTGGAAGGCGAATCAAAAATCGTCAAGCATACCCAGAACCAGCCAGAAATAATCGGGAAATTGCCCCCGGACTATGTTTTGGGGCTATGTTTGAATGCTCCTCCTGTAGATTTATGTTGTTCCCATCGTACTTAAGACCACATCCCAAAAATAATTTCGAGCACCTGGAAAAGTGTCACAACAGTGTCGAAGCAATGTCGGACGAGTGTCTCCCAGGGCCCTACACGTGAAAACCCTCGAGTTGCGGTACTTGTTTCTGGTGCTCGAAATTCTTTCTGGTGATCATGACTAAAGCAGGTTGGAACATCAAAACTGTAGAAGGACATGCCCGACTTAAACGCTGGCGCCGCGCAGGCGGCGGCCAAGGGGCCCCCTCCCCGGGCGCAAGCGGCACCCCGTTGGAGTGCCGAAACGGTGCGGCGACAGACTGTGCGGTGACCTCGAAGTCCCCCATGACTGATGGGCCTGTTGTCCACCGCCACCACCATAAGTTAGAGGGGGAGGAGGAGGAGGAGGAGGGAGGAGGAGGAGGAGGAGGCGGAGAGGAGGAGAGGAGGAGGAGGAGGAGGAGGAGGAGGGGAGGAGGAGGAGGAGGAGGAGGAGGAGGAGGAGGAGAGGAGGAGGAGGAGGAGGAGGAGGAGGAGGAGAGGGAGGAGGATCCCCCCCTCCAACTTATGGTGGTGGTGGTTGTGGAAAACGGGCCCATCAAAGACCTCACCGAACGGTCCGTCACCGCACGGTCTTAAAACCCCGAACACCCCGGTCGCCCGAGACGTCCTCGGGAAACGGCCCCGGCCCGAGTCCCCAGACCGCGCGGTGGCCCCGAGATCCCCACCGACTCGCCGCAAGGCGTGGTCCACGCCCCGTCCGTGGACCCCCGAACCCTGCTCGGAGGGCGTCGCGAGGCCAGGGGAGGGGGGCCCTCGGAGGGGTCCCCCTCGGAGGGGGCCCCCTGGAGGGGCCCTCGGGGGGCCCTCGGAGAGGGCCCTCGGAGGGCCCTCGGAGGGCCCTCGGGGGGCCTTCCGGAGGGGCGCCCTGCTCGGAGGGCGTCGCGAAGCCCACGGGGGGGGGGGGGGGCCCTCGGAGGGCCCGCGGAGGGGCACCCACTCGGGGGGTCTGGGCGGCGCGGGGGCTCGAGGGCGAGCCGCGGGCGTCTGGCGTGTGCAGCTGGGCAGCGCGCGGCTTCTCGATTGGATCGGGTTGGATGGGACTCGGAGTCCTGCTGGGCCGATTTTGCCACCACCACTGCCACAGGTAGGAGAGGGAGGAGGAGGAGGAGGCGAGGAGGAGGAGGAGTAGGAGGAGGAGGAGGAGGTGAGGAGGAGGAGGAGGAGATGAGGAGGACCTCCCCATCCTCCCTTCTCCCCGTCCTGCATATGGTAGTGGTGGTGGAAATTGGCGCATCAATTCAGCGCTGGGCTCGAGACCAGGACAAACGGGAAGACTGCATGTGCCGTTGCCTACCCTTGCCGCGCCTTCTCGAAGGAAGCGCGACCCGGGGTGCAGACAGCGCGCCCCCCCGGGAGGCGAGGGCAAGAACCGGAGGTTGAGGAGGCGAGGGCACGGAAAGGAGGAGGAGGAGGAGGAGGAGGCAGAGGAGGAGGAGGAGGAGGCGGAGGAGGAGAAGGGAGAGGCAGTGGGAAGAGAGAGAGAGAGAAAGGACTACCATAACGGAGTGCCCGTCGGTCGGAACAGGTGGGCATGAAGTAGGAGAGCGTTGGAAGTAGATTGGACCCCCGCCCGCCCCCTGGAGAGGAGGGAAGAGGGACAACCGCTCGACTCTTGAAGGAGGAAGGCGCTTGAAGTAGATTGGGCCCCCGACATCTCCCAAACGTACCTGCTTTCAGCGGCCGGCGTGCACATGCTTCGCACGTGCGCTGGCATGCTCGGAGGAAGGCGAGCCGAGGCAGAGGCGCAGCTCCGAATCGGTCGGCGAGCCCCTCCCAGAGTCCGAATCAGACACGCACACAGCACAACACACCACACCACACCACACCACACCACACCACACAACACACCACAGCAAAACACCACATCACACCACACCACACCACACCACACCACACCACACCACACCACACCACACCACACCACACCACACCACACCACACCACACACCACACCACACGACACGACACGACACGACACGACACGACACGACACGACACGACACGACACGACACGACACGACACGACACGACACGACACGACACGACACGACACACACACACATACATACATACATACATACATACATACATACATACATAAATACAACATACACACATACAACATACATACATACATACATGCATACAGACACACACAACCATTACATACATACATACATACATACATACATACATACATACATACATATACACATACATACATACATACATACAGACATACATACA